TATTAAGAAAAACCTATGTATAAGTGTATAACTGTTCATATTAATAGTCAATAACAAATTCAATTTATTTTACTAATTTTTATATTATTTATAATAATATATAGTTATAACGTATCATAATTATTAATATGCATGATGCATGCATGTTTTTATAATTTCTATTAGTACCATTAAATTGTACTTTCTTAAAAACCCAATATGGAAAAATATATATCCCGTTCCACTAAACACGTATAAATAATAAATGCAAAGTAAAAGAATAGGAAAAAGCGAGAGAGAAAGAAGCAATGCAAATATTAAATATTTATTTTTTATTAGGCTTGGTAATGATAATGGGAAAAATCAATTTCTTAAGTGCTATACTTGATGCAGAAGATCCAGGAGTTCTTGAAAGTGTGCAAAACTTACCTATGTGTTCAAACAAGCAAACACCTTGTGATGAATGTAGGAAACAAATTCTTACACTTATCCAACAAGGTTCAATCACAACTCCATGGGAATTACCTTCTTCAATTTGTTGTTCACAACTTCGGAGATGGGGACACAATTGTTTCGCTAGGTGGATGGTTTATGACAACGCTAAAGACTATATGATTTTAGGAGATGATATTACAATTTTAGGAAATATGAGGAAGACATGGGCTGGTTGCCAATCAAAAAAAATTTTAGAACCCAGGTCAAATGTTTGAACAAAAGATAAATTGTAATTGTTAACTTACCAAGTGTTACGGGGCTAATTTTTCCTTCACAATTCACAAATTTCGCATTGGGTCGTATGGCCTATCTCTGCCCGAGATAGTCAGCCGACTCAAACTAACTCACGATCTGGTTTGAACGATCGCACACACATAGGGCAATTTAGGAAGAACGTAGATATACTTAGGAAAATACACACGAGCTAGGAGTATTTCAGTCCAAAAACCCACCTTTATTCAATATTCAGAATACAAGGCACTCACACGCCAATAGTTATTGTGTGGGCCATGATCCTCACAATTGTGTGGACCACGGTCCAAAAATGACGTCGTTTTGCTTAATTTTTTTAAGCGACCCGCTGCAACATACTTTTTATAAGTCATAATGTACATTATCCTAAAGCATAACGTACATGATTCTAAAGCATAATATACATTATTCTAACTCATAAAATACATTATCTTGCCCCAATAATTTCATTATCCTAACACATAATGTACATTATTTTAACACATAAAGTACATTATTATAACTCAAAAAAACACATTATTCTTACTCATAATATTCGACGATATCGTTTTGAACAGTGTTCTACACTGTTGGGTGGACCATGTTCAACACAAAAATTTGCCATCAGAGGCTCTCCAGGCCAACTCACGGGCAAAGCTCTCAACACTGACTACAAAATGCCTGGGACACGCTATTTATAGAGGGAGGATGGTTACAAGGCCAACTGCCTAGCTAATCAGATAAAAGCATTCGAATTTCAAAATCCAATCCTTATCCAATCTGCTTAATCCAAAAGACGTTCAGATAAATACTTTATGCATATGATGACTAAGAATGCATGATTACCTCTGAACGCCATAGGGGTGATATGATAATTGTTAATTAGAACCAACCCATAATATATATGACTTGATAAACATCATAAGATTAATTTTGGTAAAAGTTTAATGTTCCTAGTATTTGGAGCATTGTCTATTTTCCCGTGTTCATATTCTTGGCGTGTGGCATAGCTTTGCTGTTATTTTTGGAATTTCTTTTGATAATGCTGGGTCAGTAAGATCTGCATGTCATAAATGGTGAATATCAGCCTTGATCAATACTCTTTAATTAATTTGGATGCATACTCTTTAATTATTCTTGTGATTTACTACTATATGATTTCTAGCTCATTTGATTGAGATTCCATACATGAAATAACTAGGTGCTTACGAACCATCTAGTAAAATATAG